GTGGTACAGGACGTTGTGGGAGAATGGAGACATTTCTTGCCTCCCAATGACTGAGTCCTGACTGACCTTTCCCATCCATGGTCTCATATTCCTTTCCTTCCATGCAGACATTCATACCAAATACATGTTTGACCATCAAAATGCTGCATGTATCATGTTCACACTTGCCACAAGTAACATTTACAGAAATGGGTTGCAAGTACAGCTATCTTGACCAAATGAGCCTTCTTCATGTGGTAATGTCAAAACATAGCTTGACCTTCTCTCTCCAATATGAGTATTGGGTCACTTCTACTTCTGATTATCAAACTGGCCTTGATACTTTCTGTTGATTTCCAAAGAACAAAGAGAACGTAGTGGAGAGAGATGGCTCAGTGGTTAAGAGCACTGTCTACTCTTGCAGAGGATCTGGGTTCAGTTCCCAGCACTCACAAAGAGGCTCACAACCATCTGAGTCTCTACAAAAAAAAAAAAAAAAAAAAAACAAAACTACTGCATCAACTTTCACAGGAGGGTTTGGTGAAAAAGACATATCATCCCTGCCTCCCCTGGCTAGGGCCAATGTTTAAATATGTCTCTTTCTGTTCATGGTAGCATTAGTAAGAGCTGTGAAGATCCAGCCCTTATTCTTCACCAGCATTTCCTCTGGTTGTTACAGGCGAGGAGCAACATGACTTCTTCGGGGGACAAGGCCTGAGAATAGCAGGAACAAGTTCTCCTTTTGGCAAGGCCTGGAAGAATTTAACCCATTTTTGGCAAGGCTGATGAATAGTTCACTGTATAATTCTGGGCGTGACCCTAGGAGCATACGTGCTGCCCACTGTCCTTGCTTTCCTTACACAAATCATCCTGCTAGCTGCCTCTAGTTTCCTTTCCTTAGAGCTATAGATGAAAGGGCTATTTCACTAGGGAAACTCCCATGGTGACTCTTCTCTGTGTGAGCCAGAGGAGATGTTGTTAAAAACACACAGTGAACCTGATTCAACTCCCAAAGCCTTTGATGTTTGATGGGCAACCATAAATTCAGGATTCTCAAGAACAGGACATTGCCTTTCCAACACACCTGTGACTAGCCTGGAAGAAGTCACAATAGTTCATGGCATTACGAACTTTTATAAACTGTTTTGGAGAGACTGATTTTAACCACAAGAGTCTAGGAGAAATGCTAATCATAGATGATATCAAGAGTTAATGGGAACAGTCTAGGAACAGGGAATGATGAAACAGAATCCTAGAAACCCACAATGCCCTCATTTCTATAGCTGTGCCAAAACTGTAGGAGTCAACACTCCTTCTTTTCCTGCAGAAAGGAAGGGGACATGAACCCAAGACATAAGCAGTGACAACTGTTAGTAATAGGCTTTTATGCTACATAGTGTGCAGGATGATAGGAGAAAACCTGGTATATCTCTCCTAGGAGACAGAGTAGAATAGAATGAAGAATGAATTGATGAAGCCTTGGCTGATGAGTTGAATCTGAGAACTCAGATCTGACCAGAGGTATTCACTAACCTTTATAGGCAAAATTCTCTTTTACTTTACATGCTTCTGTAACCGTAAATGCTGCCAACCAGGCACACTGTTCTATCTGTAGGTGTGCCTAGTTGGAAAACATCCTTTGTTGCTTGCTGTACTGCTTAGGCCTCTAATATTAAAACTAAGAACCAAGTAGGTAATGATTACTGGTGGGAAAGCTGGGGACAGAAGGAGAATGAGATAAGGGAACAAACTGGCAATTATTGTAACCATTATTAGAAACTTAAGGAAACAAATATGGTTGGGAAACTGTGTGTGCAAACTGTGGATACTGTGTTAATAGAAGTGGCCCTGGGTTTCCACTCCTTTGAGACTTCACACATCCATCCCAGGTCATTAGACCCATGAGGAGCAAGGCTCCTAGCAGCTGCACACAATTCCTCCTGCAGTTGTAGCTGTAGAGTGTTTGCTCTTGAGATTTCATCTCTACACCATACACTTCAGCTCTTTTCTAAGAGAGCCCCAAACTCCTACCAGTCATCCCTCTGGTCCCAACTGGAAAAGGGAACCTTTTAAAATATAGACTCTGTTCATGAAGCTGGACAGATGACTCAGCAGTTAATAGCCCTGGGTGCTCTTACAGAGGACCCAGGTTTGATCACCTGCACCCACATGTGTAACTCCAGTCCTAAAGGATCCCTACATGCACACATGTGGTACAGAGACATACTTGTGGACAAAACACCCATTCACATAAAATAAGCAAACAAATAAATAAAATCTTAAAACTAAATATATTCCTCTTCATTTCACCCGATGGCTGCATCAGTCATACCCATTTTTAAATATGGCATTCTTTGTATCCCAGGAAGGCCTCAAATTCACTAGCTGAGGATAACTTTGAACTTTTTTAATTAAGATTTTTGATTATTTTTGTTTTATGCATATGTGAGTTTTGCCTGCATGCATGTCTGAACAGCAAATGCATGCAGTATTTATTGAGGTCAGAAGAGAGCATTAGATCTGCTGAAACGGAGTTAGAGGTGATCGTGAGTCACCATACACTACTGGCAACCGAACCCTGTCTTCTGGAAACGTGTCTATGTCTAAGTCGTGCTCTTAACTGCTGAGTCATCTCTCTAGCTCTGACCTTAATCATCTGATTTTCCTGCCTCCTCCTCTTGAGTGCTGAGAGGACAGGAGAGCACCACCACCCGATTTTATGCTGTGCTGGGGTTCAAATTCAGGGCTCCCTGCATGTTAGGCGATTACTCTACCAACTGAGATAGTGTCCAGGCCTAAACTTTGGACTGGATTCCTTAAACCCAAGTCTGACACCAGTCGCCAGTGTCCTCCAAACTGCAGGAGACAGATAGAAACTTAGAGTATACTTCTTAAAGTCCTGCTCACTGGACTTGAATTCAGGAGAAGGAACATTGCCATTGCCTCATGGAGCGAGGAGCACAGAACAGTTCAATTATCACTAAAAATTTCCATCTCTTTGAACACAGGGGTCTTTCAAAATTCATTCATTCATTCGTGGGTATATGTTGCTAGGTAGAGGTTCAAAGACAACTTGGAGGAATCAGTTTTTTTCCCCCCTTACACCATGTAGGTCCCAGGGTTTGAACTCAAATCTTCAAGTTGGAAGCAAAATTTCATTTCTAGTGAGTCATCTTGCCAGCTCCATAAAACTCATTATGTCTACTAGCTTTATAAGCTCACTGATAGTTTAAAAACCTGTGTTCTAACTAAGAAATGTGAATATTTAGTACCCACAACATTTTCCACACGGAAATTATTAAGTCTAAGGAAATTTTTTTTTCAATTTCCTCCCAACAAAACATTGACAAAACCAATCTGAAATGTGCCACAGTTTAGACAGCATGTTTGTCTGTCTTCCCAGCCTCCTCTTGTGTAATTTCTTCTCCCACCTTTCAGATGAAAGTCTTATCTCTCACCTTCTGAAATGTTCATTCTTTCCTTCCCCCTTTATCAAAGAATTCACTCTGCTTCTTCCCCAGGGAACATCTCATGAGGCCAGGCTTCCTGAAAATGTCCTATGTAGTGGGAGCCAAATAATTTTGTTTTGTACTTAATTTTCCTACCGGGGATTACACTGCATTCTTAAAAACATAATACCTACGTGCTTGTAGAAGAAAGGCTCTAAATGTTCTCCAAAGCCATTGAAGTGGCAACACCCTACACCTTAGGAAGCTGTTTCCTTTGTTTACAGTGAATACTCCTGCTCAGAGGACAATAAACTCTCATTTTTTAAACACTATCAAATCATGGAGAAAATGTCTCATCAATCTAGACGCAAAATTTTCCAAAAGCTTTTCAATTTGTCTTAAATTTGTGTTGAAGCATCTCAGAGACTTCCAGATTAAAAAAATTAGAAGTTGATTGAAATAAATAATGAAAAATGTGGATCTACTGCACAATGATCCAATAACACACAGGCTTAAACGCGCCATAGACAGAGTAAAAATGATGTCTTGGAGAAAGGTCTGGAACGTATATGCAAAGCAAAGTTTGTGACTCTCACGTGGGAGAAAAAAAATCCTGTAAACGGGAAAGAAACACATTTGGTGAGGATTTACAGGGGTGATTAGGTGCTGAGGAAATGTGCCCCAAACAACGGATGCTCCAGTTTTACACAGCAAATGAAGGAAATGAAAAGATGCCCAATACCCAATGTCAGTGTGTGGACTGGTGGGGCTGTGAACTGCAGGACACCAGGCTTCTGTGCTCTCACTTTGGGGGACACACCTGTTGTCACCTAAGGACAAGGATGATTTAGATATGCATGCTGACACAGAAAACTTTCCAGGATGCAGCATTAAATGAAAATAGCAACAAATCCTGCATATCAAATGGTCTTAAACTCATGAAAGAAAGAAAGCATGTCTACAGTTACATGTAATGACATATGCTTTCATACATTCTTCGTGAATACAGAAAGAAATATGAGAAAACCAGCAACCAGCTGTGCTTTTATTTCTGCTTGTTTTAAAGTAGTTGACTTGCTTTGTCATTTTTAACAGAAATGCCTATGAGTGTGACTGTTGCCAGTGTGTGTGGACAATATGGGCAGTCAGAGCTCCGGGTTTTAGACTTGAAGGGTATGAAGAAAACAAGACTTATAGGAGTTTGAAAGACTGATGTAGAGGAACTGGATAAAGGAGGGGAGGCCTTCCAGGACACTGACAAAGCAGACAGAAAGCAACACTGCTGAGATTCAGTTAGACTCTCTCCTTATCCTCTAAACCACTTGTAACTACACATTGAAAAACTCCAGGTACACCAGACTTTGTGTGGGAACAAACAATTATGCTGCATTGCACAGAATAAATCCAATACTGAATATATTGCTGTCATTATCAGGAATTTAAAGACCAAATATTAGAAAACTCAAGGAATCTTAAATTTATAATTTAGGATTAAATCTACTTTGCGTTTTCCCAAGCAAAAAAATTGCTGGATTTCACCCACAACAATCAGAGGAAATGAGCAACTTTTACCTGAGCACTCTTCACCATTTCCATTGACAGGTGCTTCTGGTCTGTAAATGCATCATCAATACTGCCGCAAATTACCTACTGAGTGACTGATAGGAGAGAAGCCCTGCAGAGAGCAGGCAGGAGCCGCCTGCTCCTTGGAGAAGCAGAGGGGTAAATAAAGGGATCTTTGTTTACATAACTTTTAATCCTTTGTTAAAGTTTCTTTGGTTCTGAGGGTTGCATAAAACAGGTTATAATCTTGGAAACAGACTCCAAGATTAGCCACTTGGTGCCTGGGACTCCGCCTTCCTGAGCTGTGATTTCAGTTAACTCCTCAGTGGCCTTGGCTCCCATTGGAATATCTTGTCTAAAGACCACAGAAAACTCCCTGCTGTTGCTTTGTGTTACTGGCCCTCAGATTGTCTTTGTTTTCTTTTCTGATTAAGAAGCCTTTAATAAGCCTCCTGTACATTGATAACTGCCCACTCAATGAATAAAGATGTGCACAGAGGCTTGGAGAGCTAGCCAAAGAGAAAAGTTAGGAGTGATATGGCTGCCAGGTGGCTTCTGTGTCTCCATCAGTTAAAGAATTAAAGGACAGAGAAGTTAGTCAGCATGTTCTTGGGCAAGCCTTGCAGGCTTCTTATACAGGAGAGGAACCCCCAGAGCAGAAAACCATCAGTTTTAATGGATTTGAGGTTTTCTTGCATTTAGGACACCCTACTTGGCAAGTCGCCCTCTTCCCCTTTTCCTTTGTTCCAAACATGTCTCTGCACTCCTTCTCTGGCAGAGATAATGTTTCTGCTTCTGGAATTGTTGATCAGCTGGGGTAAAATTTGACCCTACCTCCTCTGTGCTTCATGGTGTGGCCAGTACAGAGAACCCCACAGCTTGTGAAGAGAATGGGTTGTGTTTTAGAGAAACAGAAACTTACTGCTGGAGGCAAGGGCCAACAACAAAAGGGAGGTAAGAAAAGGAGGAAAGGGAGGGAGGGAGGAAGGGAGAAAGGGAGGAAGGAAGGAGGAGGAGGAAACAAAGAAGGAAGGAAGGAAGGAAGGAAGGAAGGAAGGAAGGAAGGAAGGAA